AGCGCGCTGCGGTTTGTGCGGCTACCTATTTCCAAAATGGTCTCTTCTTGATACTGCAGAAACCATTACCTATGCAAACTCAAGCCCTGCACGGGGGCAAACTGGTGAACATCACTCGGAATGTAGTGCTGACATGTCTTAGATCTGCATAGGGCAAGACGTCCTGCGGGCCCTCAGTATCCGGAATCGGCTGGCTCAGCCACGCCACCCTTCAAGTTGAGAGCACATTGATCCCAACTTCATGTTGTGCTTCCAACACACTGCTTCACGGTTGAACATGAAAGCAAATGGTGGCTCTCGTCCGCAAGGCATCGGCCTGCTGAAGACATGGCTGAAGCCATACCTGAAGGCTCACATCACCACAAGGAACAAAACACACTCCACATGCTCCTAATTGTGTGCTACATGGGATCTACAGTTGCGAAGGCTGTGTTTTGGTAAGGTTTGTTGCTATGGCCTCGTTAGGAGATTCAACAAAATCGTACTTTTGACGGGCTGGATGCTGGAGGTCTTCTCCCCTGGGCTGGGCGGAATCCAGCTGCGGATCCCGCGATGTGAGATCGACCCAGCGGAAGGCCCTGCACTTGTCCAACATTACAGATTCTCGTAGTTGAGAGGTATTTTTCGTGCTGCCTCTCACGGTAAAGCTAAGACAGAAAAAAAGCTTTCCTTTCAGCGTAGCTTCTGGCTCATGAGAGATAAAGTGTGCCACGTCTGCAGGGCAACTGCGCCTTTTCCTTCAAATTGCGAAAAGAAGCGTGCTTTCTGACCGAAAAATATCAAGCTCTTGGCAAGATGTCGGTCTAGCGAACACATGCGCCGATGCTGCACTGACCAAGCTACCGACACTGCCAGCTTGTGTGTCACCGCTTGCAAAATCCCTAGCAGTCCATCTTCACCACAAGCAGACACAAGCTCTCGTCGCATGATGTCCAGGTAATCCTCTGCGTACCTCTGCCAAAGTCACCATGGAACAACTCTTCTCGGTCATGCACCTTCCTTCTGTACGCAACAGGCAGGGAAATGTCACCCCATGCCAGCCAAGAAGCAAGCACCCATCTTCAAAGATGGCAAGTGCAAAGCCACGCGACATCCTGAGCAAACGAAACCATGTTTTACTTCCATGTGCTCCTTGTCATCTTTGCATTTCGATCCAGACGGTCGTTGCAGTAAACAGCTCTTTGCAGCCAAGATGGTAAACGGGAGTGCGAAACTCTGTGATGAGCGTTCTGTGCAGCAGCTGCTGTGTGGGTGGCATAGTTTCTGCCCGGTGGCATGCAAGCAATGTTCCTCGTGAAGCCTTTGGTCCAACCTTCCTTCCGTACCTGCCAAGAAGGCGGATTGCAAACCGGCAAGGCCAGCCCCGAGTTTCCAGGCCAAGCCTCAGTTCGATGGGGTCGCCCACGTCCCCACCTGGAAGAAAAGTTGCTTGACGTCATTCACAACGAGGATATGCATGACTCAAATCTTTCCCCTATGTTTTTTTAATGAGGAGTTGCGCAAATGTATGGCTTGCAGACTGATCTAATGCTGGTTGATATTGGCCCCCAAAGCCATCTGCACTGCATGACTCTTGGATTGGTCGTACAAGAGCTCTTTGGGAAGAACTGAAAACCATGCCATTCCCGTTTGACCCCAACTGGACTGCGTCTGTAACTGTCACCTCGCAATTGCGCCAGTTCTGGCCCATAGAACAACTTAACAAGTCTGCAGCTGGAGTCTGGATTCGTCTTCACCAGTCAAGATTAGCTTTGTCCGGGCCACTCCGTCAGTTCTCTGGGATCATCAGAGCGCAGCACCTGAAAAGGTTCAAGAAAGCACAGCCAAAATCAGGTCCCTTAGGCTCGATTGATAGCTGAGGTTTTCTGCGGCATCAGAACAAAAAGCTATGCTTTCTCCGGCTTCGTACTCTGAGGAAAAAACGTTATATACAAGCAGGTAGGGTTGCAAGGATAACGGCAACCATCATGATGGCAGTATTAGCATGAGCTGAGAATGTGTGCGGCCACAGTACTGCAGCCATGGCATCGGCGCCTGTTTCCTGTCGTGCCGTGAGAGCAGCTAGGGACACTGAGGATCGTTGAGGCATGCTGCAGTAAATCCCGCTACCATACGAGTCTGAGTCAGTATCTGTCTGTAATCCATACAACCTTTCTGATCATGCTGGTCTGCCGTCATGAAGCTCTCTGTATCTCACTCATTTTGTGCTACTGACTTATGGCAAAGATCATTCACAGTTGTAAGTTCTGACTCAGCCGGCCTCCTGCAGTCGAGGCGAGCCTGGTCGTGCAGATTTCTCGGCCTACAGATGCAGGCAGGAGCCAAGAGCAGCAGCCCAACAGCTCCATAGTCGGGCTTTGGTGGATACCCGATCCCCTGAAATTTGTCGCTACATTGTCTGCCGAAGGTTTTGCATGCACCGGCCAGGCTTGGGAGCCTGGAAGAAATAGTAAAACACTCTCGGATCCTCTGCTCGCCGCTCCAGCATGTAGAGTGAAGGCTCCTTAAGCAGGCGGCAATGCTAAACATGTCCCCAGGCCTTTCAAGCGTCTGCACCGAACATGCTCCGCTCGAAATGGTGCATCTCCATTTAAAACGGGGTCGAGAAACGGACCCTGTGTCAATCACTATCAGCTCTCGTGGCTCGTAACTCTGACGAAGGAAGTTCTCGTACAAGAGCGGGTGAAAGGCATGCCTGATACGTGAACACGCGCATGGCAAACTTACAATAATCATTTTACAGTTCACACAACGAGCCTGCCCTGGCTGGTGGTACAAATCACAGACATCAGCTCATTGACCTTCAGGTGGCCTCACGGCACCGACACTTCTAGCAGCAGCATCCCCTGTCAGATATGCTGCAATCTCATGGCTGGGGAACTAAAGCCTGTCCAAGCAGCTTTTGGGCACCTGATCGTCCATCTCTGCATGATCGCCTGTGCGCAGGATTGAACATTTTTTCAGTGCCGACCGAACACGCGAAGCTAGAATGCCTAGGTCGAAGACGCCTCCAGAAAGCACCTTGGCGAATGAGGTTGCTGTTTTCTGCAGAGTCAAGACTAGCCCCATAGGAATTGTGGTCTTGGAGGCAACCGCCGCATGTAGCAAAACAAAAGCTGTGATTGCTCCTCCTACCAAGTGGCATATAAAGCTGCAGCTGCTGGTTCCCAGTGCTGGCTACGCGAGGGCAGAGTGCAGCCTGCACGCAGCTTTCCATGCAAACGGTTGCCTAGCGTCTTGGCATCACTCAAGCTTTGCTCTTATGGGCTCCTTGGCTCGTGCGTTGCAGACCCATGGCAGGTTAAACATGCTGCACCAGGCCTGGGAGAGATCCTCTGACCTTCATGCGCTGCAGCCAGGTTGTGGCAGAATCATGCCTGACAGAAAGCAGATAACTACCAAGTGTGGCACACTGCATGGCACTTGGCGTTCTGCAACACGAAAAGTAAGTGTCGGAACTGTCTCTGGTTGACAAGCTGCCATACTGTGAGATCGCGGTGCTCCACGGACGGGTGCCCGCAGGATCTGCAAACCTACATTTGCCTAATCTGCAAGGTCTCTAGACTGACTCTATTTGCCTAACAAACCTAGCATGCTAAAACTGGGCTCCTCTGTCGAGCCAGATCGAGCCCCGTATCTCTGCTCAGCCAAGCGAAGTTGGATTGGCCTCGGTTTGGTTGTCCAAAGCAAGCCCTCGTGCCATGCAAAGGAATGCACGGGCACAAAGCGACAGCAACTCGCATGTCTCGCGTAATTGCATAGGGATGCTTGGCTGCATTTGGAGGTACATAGCTCACACAGCCTGCCTTGGAGTCTCCAGTCAAGATCATCGTAGAACAAGCGTGATGGCTGCCAGGGCTTTGTGCAGCCAAGGGTCCTCTTTGCAGGATCCTCTAGGCACTCCAGAACTGTCGAAGGATAGAACATCCGCCATGGGCTAAGCAGGCTGGGCAGCGTCATCTCGCGGCATGCACGTGTAGCTCCAATTCAATGGGGGTAGAGCTCGAAAGTCAAATGCCCCATTAAGTTTGTGTATTCAGAACAGCTATGTTCTCTGGATGAGGAATAGCTACTGCGACCTCTGCATTGTGCGCTGACAAGCAGGTTGAAGCTCAACGTCTTGTTCTGCTCAGATTGCCTTGCTTGCACATTCAAAACACATAGCACCGGCTAAGAACGTTCAGACGGAAGGTACGAACCTCCTACTCCGTAAAGACTCTTCCAGTTCGCTTGCTACATCCTCAACGAGGGGATGGGGTCTCACCCCTAGGTAGCAAAGGTTTCCTCCGCGGGAGAAACGCACCGTCCGGCCGTCTGTAAAGCCTTCGGATACCTATCAGCAGGGCTCTGGCATGCAGACAATACGAAGGTGGCCTTTGGCCCTTAGGCCCGTCTTGAACTACCAGCTGGATGCAGCACCACACATGTCGCCATTTGTCTCTGGCCTGGGAGGTAGGGAATGAATCGTCGACAACAAGCTCAATCCACCTGACATACTCAATCTCAACTCCGTAGGCTGCAGTTCCATCTCCGATTCTGAAGAATCCCTTCACTTTACTGAGCATCGCAACTCACCGGCATGGCAAAGGCGAAGCTGGTAGATACCGTGCGTGCTCACCTCCTGTCAGCTTTCAAAGCGCAATCTCCAAAAATCCGCAACTGGAGACTCCACAGTGTCCATAGATCTTAGTGATGGATTTTTTGGATACAAGTATCTAGCCAATGCAGTGGCTTGTTGTCAGAAATGCTGGCACCCGCTCGATGCTGTCTATACGCATGCGTCTGCATCCCTCTGCGGGTTGTCGAGAAGTGCACTGAACGCTTTTTGTGCCGCTGTCAGCTTTGCTGTGACGCAGAGCCTGGGCCAATCCAAATCAGCGAGGCAGAATTCTGCACCAATGATTTGCAAGCTACACTCTGGATCACTCTGGGATGATGTCAGTGGCAGCATCCTTGAATTTTCCGTAGGCTGAGAGCTTGGCCTTGTGCCCTGATCAGTGTCATTGCTGCCGACAATTTTCGCGGCAACTTTCGACGTCGGGCACCGCTGCCTTGCGAGATTCCCCCTTGAAGGATGCATGCGGAGTCTCTGCTATAAAGAACCACAAATCTACTGCACTTAGACAGACATTGAGCCGTGGCCACAGCGATGGTCAGTTTCCAGCAGGTTTGTGGAGACGCCGGTGCATTCTGAACCGGATAACACAGGAGGTCGCACGGCGATGCATCAATAGTCTCTCACCAACATGTTGGAGAGACTTGTAAATCATATGCGAAAGCTTCAGATCACCAACATCAATCTAGGCCCTGCCGCCCTTTGCCTTGGACTCTATGTGGCATTTCTTGCATTTCGTGGCGGCTAACTAGACTCAACCTGGAGATGCCCTCAAGCGTTTGATGTTCGACACAACTTGAAGGCCAGAATGGGCACGACAGTGACATAAATGACATAATCAACAAGACCCCACGGGCTGCAGCGAGGAGTTGCTGAACCTGCGCCCTTTCGTCAGCTAAACCACCGTCCTCCAAATGAGATTGCATGACCCAGAAGCTACACATGGACCCGTCTGAATCCGAACACGTCGAAGCCGAAGTCCACCATGGACCATGCAGAAGGCTTTAACATGTTTGGTAGGATCTGTCTAGACCTTCGGAAGCGACTAGGTCGCAACGAACTTTATGTTGGCTCAGGCCTCTGTGCAAGCGTCAAGCCGTCGTTTGGCATAGTCCAGGAGGCTTGACCTTGATGTTCAGAGCACTTCGTGGGCAGCACAGGAATTTGGATGTCTGCTCCTGCAAATTGCCATGGGTTGCCAGCAAGCAACACCTCATGTCTCATGGCATTCGGAAGGATGATGCCATCCTTTCCGCCAGATGCTCTGCCTGCTGTCACTCAGCAAAGGGATAAGTGATCAAGAAATGCGAGCTGTGGATACGGAGCTGTCAGGGCTAGCAAGGCAAGCCAGGCCTGACAAAGCCGTTTCCAAGGCGGCTATGGCCTCCAAGAAATCCGAACGAGATCCAAGGAGCTTCGAGGAGGCACCCAACCTCTTTGGCTCGGCTGGCACTCGGAGCCATGCCAAGCGTAGCGCAGCCTCACTGAGCCACGTCTCTGGGCCTCTGGCTGAACGGCAAGCATGGCATGGCATCGCCTCGCCGGTAGTAGGCCTTGCCGTTTGTCGGGTCCTCGGCAGCGAGGTCATCCTGAAGTCTTCTTTAATGTCTTCATCAGACAGGGCCCCAGACCAACTCGATGGCCCTGGCAGCGTCCATGTTCGCCTTCATCGCATTTCGCCGGGCCTCTTGGCCTATTGCGGCGTCCTGGCCACACTTCCTATGCTGGATCGAAGGCATGTTCAGCTGGTCCTCGCCATGTATTTCTCGACATAGCATGATGAAGCACTGGGCGCGGTTGCTGAGAAGGACCTCACGCTCGAGAATCTAAGTTCGCTGCTCTCAAGATGCGATTCCACTTGATCCCCATACAGAATCGTGGAGATATGAACTGTCCGCGAAGCACTGAAGTTTGTGAAGATCTCTAGAGCACGATCGTTTTTGGCGAGGCGCTGCTGCATATTTTGGATCCTGAGGCATCTGGCCTAAGTAAGCTGTGCACAATGGACAATTTTCCGTGGCCACGAGTTGCAGCAGCTTCAATCAGAACTTGACAAGCCATCTCAGAAGGAGACCTGAGTCGTCCTGATCCATCAGTATTGGTGAAACATTCATGGCCAATCTTACGTTCTACTACGACAGGCACGACTCTTCAAGATTGAACTCGGCAGGCACCCGCATGCAGCCGCTCCAGCCAGTCTAGGTTTATAGTGGCACCGACCATCTGAATAGCAGACTTGCCATCAACATAGCCCGGTCTTACCAAGAACAACTTCAGTGCAATCGCACCTGCTCGAGTGCATCCAGTGATGCTGTGTAGAAGGCAACGGCCTGGTCTTGATACTGTTACGGCTCCCTATGATGCAAAACTTTCTGGCAGGTGGTGCCGCAAGAATGTCCACAGTCATATTATGAGCATAGCCGGAATTCTCATGCACACTTCTTCGTGTCTTTGTTCAAGACGGCTCACTGTACACTTGCCCTGTTAAGCCCGCTCATACGTCTGGATGCATCGCCTGCCTGCCTTCGTAGCCATGCCGGTTCATCTCTACCATTTTCATCACGCTTGCAAATACCACTTGGACACTGCCACGGTTAAGGGAAAACCGGTTGAAACAGAACTGGCCATAAGGAGCACGTCGTTCACTGCAAAAAAGGTGTTCTGTACTTCTGCCATGGTGAGTGTGGTCTTCTTACTCTTCTCATTATCATGACCACATCATGACACCCTGTCACCAGAAGTGCTGCACAGGACATGGACAGGGCAGCTAAGGGCAACGCCTCCTCCAGCTGCGAGGCCTTGAAGCACTCATTGCCCCGCCTGAGCTGGAGGAGAGCCGTTCTGTTTAACCTACCCCGTGTGTGCTTGGCGGCAGACGTAACCCTAGTTGCATGATGCGGGGCATGCTCTTTGACTTTTCGCTTTGCTTCTGTTGAAGGTTGGGTACTCAAGCCTCCGCATATATCGGGGCACGAATGAATGGACCTTGGCCTAGCTGAGTGCTTGAAACGTTGTGTTCCTTGCCAAGCCCTTCAGCAGTTAGATCTGGTCAGTAGCTCAGTAGCCAGTTCACTCAGTTCCCAGACCAAGCAACTCCTTCAGCTCTGCCGCTGTGAGACCAGCAGGTACTACAGGTGGAGGGGGTACCGCAAGATTTGCCTCAAATGTGCATCCGCAGCAGACACTAGCTCTTGAAGCGCTGTCTGAAGCACCTCTTTCAGCCTCTTCACGCCGCCCCCTTCACCTCGAACCTCGACCTGGCAGAGCATCAACTTGCAAGCCTCGTTTTTGGTGTTTTCCAGTGACATCTTATTCTGGTGCTCGACGAGGCTGCGTGTTGCGGTGTCTACATGCTTCAAACCACAACTTCGTTGAGCATCAGAGCTCACAGATCGAAGCCTCCCAGCGCTCCGCGTGCACATCAAATTGTTGAAGCCTCCCAAGCCTCTACACAAATGGAAGGGCAACAGGCCGCACAAAGCCACGCGAGCAACTGCACTCTCAATGATTTGTCTTGCTTTGGACTGTTGCTTTGGATGGATGGCCTCTGGAATTAGACGCTCCGATTCTGATGCACCAGAGTTGGATTTGCATGCCTTCCATTCAGCTCTGGAGCACTTTGCAAGCCTTGCAGCTGAACCTCAGCTGGAGTCCCATCAGCGTCAAGTTACGCTCGATATGTTGCAATGCTGCGGTCGGAGAACCGATAGCCAAACAGCAAAGCATCATGTCGCACTAAGAACAGCACAAGCTGCTTCATTTTGAAGGATCCATGCTCCTGCTGCGAATCAACGGCTGTGGTAGCGGCCGAGTCTGGGCTAACGAAAGATAGAGCACTGAAGCAGCTCCTTCAACCCGGAGCCTCCAGAGGCCCCCGACGCCGCAGGGGCGCTGCTCTGCGGCTTGGTTCCAGAGCTCGCACATCTGTAGCCACCCGGGGTTGGGGCAGCTTCGAGGTGCCTGAGGCCAAAGCTTGACACTCGTAACAATGAAAGAGCCACCACCTGCAACTTGAGATCACGACTTATACGCAACTTTCACGGGCTCAGTGCCAGCGGTAGCCACGTCATCGAACTGTACCAGCATGTTCCTGCCAGCCATTACAATAGAGGAAACATCGAACCTTGCCGATAAAGCTGCCACGTCTCCTGCCCTCATCGTTGTTTTCGACCTTCGCCATGGCAAACGTGTTAATTTGCCTGACTAGCGCATGCCGCATGATGATCTGAAACGTCGACGATAGTGCCCTCCATGCCGCCATGAAACCTCGATGAGATTTCAAGACGCTCCCTGCTACAGCCAGGCTTCCTCTCTAATTCAAACTGGGGCAAATGCTTCTCGAAGTTTCGGCCACCGAGCACTCGCACGCGCTCGCCAGCTGCAAGGCAAGTGAGGTCTGTCATCCGTATCCAGTTCGAAGGTCTGCAGCTGGACCTCCCAGGCGAGTAGCTGGTCTCATCTAACCCCTTGGCACTGATATGTGGAGCTGACCATGAGTAAAACTGAGTCGAGCCTGGCCAGCTGCCTCTTCGTCAGCACGGTGACCCGATGGTATGTATCTATGTATGTGCATACATAAAAACATATACATATACATATATATATATACATATATATATATAGATATGTATATTTGTTGGCCACCCGCTGCATAGATGGTGCTGCTTTTCAACACTCCGCCAGTGAGTATCTGCTAGACATCGTGCGAATCTGGCTTGTGCCCCATGACAAGCATGCTGTTGTGCTGTCATGTTGTCCAACGAATTTATTGCTGCAAACGGCTCCTGAAAGAGCTGGGATAGGCCACACCGAAAAAGTAGAGTACCGTAGCCAACTTAGATGCTTTTACAAATAGTAACCGCGCAAGACAAAAGCCCCATGCTAAAACCCCCCTAATATTAAAAGACAAGCCCAGGGGCCCAGAATCCTGAAGGGCACATTTAGAAGGGGAGGACTACTTTGGGCCATCTAATAATGAATTAGGTGGTTTATGGGGCTTCTGAGGTCAGCAGGGCGGTGTAATAAGGAATCCGTCAATTAATGCATATCATCTGTACATCCCCATTAATTATCTTTTAAATACATATTTCCGAAGCAATCATTAGAATAGCAGAATAGCAAATACCTACTTCGCCATTGACAGTTATTGGCTTCGAAAAGAGTTTAAAAAAGGCTGGTAGAGGCAGCCCTATCTAATGATTTCAATAAATATCCACCTAGTATTAAATAAGTTTTCAAGGCCCCGATGCTTGAACATGACGCGAGGGGGCAGACATCCTTTGATATTCGAGAGAAATGACTATTGCGAGCCCTGGTTCTGGTTATGGACATCTGACCTGGTGCACTCAAGGCAAGAGCAAGAGAGCTGTGCATGTTTGCCAACAAATCTGAGCAGGCAGTGCCTTACTGCTGGAGTTTTGCAGTCATCGCACCCGATAAGCGAAGTCTTCCGCGAGGTCAACACTACTGTCACCGTCGTGCGTGCGTTACGTGTTGGCCAACCGTGAAATGTCCCCACTTGCCGAGCTTCAAAAACACTGGGAAAGGAAGAGCTATCCGCACCTTCGTGATGCATATCCGGCTGATCAGGTCAGGCCTGGCGGCGTGGAAGTTCTGCGGCAGCGACCAAGACTGTTGCACAGGTCCTCCCTGAGACTAGCTGACCAGCTCAGATCTGCTCGCTTCGCACATCTTAGCGTTATCACGACTCGTAATCCAAAGGCGGGACGCACAGACTTAAGACACAAAAAAAGTGGCGCATCTTGTTGATTACTTCGACTTCGTAGCTGACTGCCCTGTGCTCAAGCACCACTCTCCTGAATACAACCGTGCTTCCCCTGACATCTTGGAGAAAAAAGGCACGATGAGAAGCAACCACATCACGGCAGGCTGAGAACGCTACATTTGGGCCACAACCTGGGCGCGCTGGGCCGTTGAGCAGCATTCGTTCACTCGTCTGCATGGCAAGGTCCAAGTCCAGGACACTGAGGGCTCCGGCGAACCAGCAGTTGCCCAAGGCTCCCTGGCTCTTCGTGCACAACAGCACTCAAGCGACTCAAGCATGTTCGAATGAATAGCACTTCGAGCTTCGAGAATCAGAATCCTTGACTAAGTTTCGTTACTGGGGAGCTCAGATGCACAAATGAGTCCCCAAAGCTATGAACTCTCAGCGGAAGAACATGTGCATGTTGCTGTCTCATGTTGCAGTCTAAAAGAGGCCTGGCAAACATCTTCGGGGCGCGCAGCCTTGCAGAACATAGCATCTCGGCCAGCACTGCAAGTGCAGTGAAATTGTTTAGTTTGCACTTCAGCTGAAAGTCGAAAAATTGTGATAACATCCCATCAGCCCAAGTCGTTGATGGCCAACTCGCCTCACCCGCTCACTAACTTGAACGAGAATCTAGATCAAGGACAGCAGCTAGCTCAAGCGTACCACCGGCTGACGAAGAGTTCTCTCCTTTTTCCAGCAGCTCCGGTTTGATGCAGACTGGTCGGTCGCAAACCTGAGAAGCCGCTTCTCCTGGCAAAATGATAAAAGCTCTCTGCAAGTCCAGGCCTGCGCACGTATGCACACGTGACGTGCAACACATGCAACAGTATGCAACAGTCAACCGGAAATCGATTGCACACAGATGGACCCCAGGGCCCTGGAGGTGCTGCGATCCTGGAC